AACACAGAACCAGTTCCAAGAGTTATGCTGATTCTAATGTTTTAAATCACTAATGTATTTTTAAGGGTAATGTATTCATATAATGAGACAGAAATTGTAAGCTTAACAAAAACATTGCTTGGTAGTTTTCTATAAAAATTTTGGACATATTTAAGTTTTTCACTTAGTAGAGGCAAGTATCCATCTGAACTTGAATGGTAGAGGCCATGGGATAGCTTTTCTAGCAAGATTTTCCTCTGTGTACCAATGCCATAATGAATAAAATGATAGAGTCTGATTGGATTCACCCCAGCACCTGCTGTGTTAAATGAGTGGAAAACCGACAGCTTGAAATGGCATGGTAGGTCCCACAGATGCTAGGCACTGTTAGTTTTTCATTAATGCTCAGTACTGTCACATCTGGTCCCCATATCTGGCAGGCATCCAGTGTGAATCGCTCAAATCCTGCTTGCATTTGGAAAGTTGCTTACATGTTAAACAGATTCTAAACTTAAAAGGCAACATCAGAAGGTTGCAGTGGAATCAAGGGAGTGCACTTAGGGTAATAATGACTGACATAATCCCTACAGATGTGACCCAGATCAGACTGCCAAATAATTCAAGCGATTTGATGTCAGTTTTTTTTGAGGGGAGGTTGGGGGGGTTAAGGAGGATGATTCAGTTGTTTTTTTATGCTCACTAAAATTAGCAGATATAATAGTTTCAATGTTAGTTCATTTGAATGTATCATATCTGTCAAGTGGTAAAATCAGAATGCTCTTGGGAATGCTTTAAATAGAAACTAACTTAGCAATCAAAGCAATCACCTGCACAAGTTGAATGCCAAAATAAAGTTCAGAGCTATCTTGTGGTTACGTTCCCTGAATCAGTTGAAAAGAAACATTTTTATGTTTGGCTTGAATCTAATTCCAATAAAAAGAAAGCTTAGAAAGAAATCCATCTACGAAAACTGTTAGTATCAGATTGGACATTACGAAACTCTAGGTGAAGCCATGTAAAGATTGGATATGGTCTACTTTTATTCAATGTCTCGTAGTCTTACTGTGGAAACCATAGATGGTATATTAGCTGGCCAGTTTGTTTCCTTTCGAGATTTGTTTAATCCTTTGAACTAAAGAAAATCTTTAAAGCAACATCTGAGCCCCACACATCCCAATGGCCCAAGATCATACTGCTCACTCCTTCCAACCCTATGTCCTCCACATGTCTGCTGAGGTGATTATCTCAGAGACCAGCAGTCAAGGGTAACTCAAGGGCACGAAGACAAAAGATATGTTAGACGGGGATGGGAGAAATAGCATTTTTAAAAACATAATTTCAGTAAGTAAAACATTGGTCGGGTTCTAGTGCCCTGGTTTAAAACTGATTCTTGCTGTAATACTATGTCTGTTTTTCTGTCATTGGCTCTGGTAAAATATAGGGTTTTTTTGTTGTTGTTGTTGTTGTTGTTTTTTAATATATGGGCAGCACAGTGGCTAAATGATTAGCATTTGCACCTGAAAGTACTTGGGTCACTGGTTCGAATCCCAACCACAGCACCACCTGCTTGGAGTTTGCATGTTCTCCCTGTGCTTGCTTGGGTTTCCTCCAGGTACTTCAGTTTCCTCCCAAACTCCAAAGACATGCTGGTAGGTAATTGGCTCCTGTCTAAATTGGCCCTAGTATGGGTATGTATGGGCGGCACAGGGCTTAGTGGTTAGCACTTCTGCATTACAGTAATAGGGTCATGGGTTCAATTCCTGACCATGGTGCCTCCTGCATGGAGTTTGCATGTTCTCCCTGTGTTTTTGTGGGTTTCCTCTGGATACTCTAGTTTCCTCCCACACGCCAAAGACATGCTGGTAGGTTAACTGGCTCCTGTCTAAATTGGCCCTAGTATGGGTATGTATGGGTGGCAGAGTGGCTTAGTGGTTAGCACTTCTGCATTGCAGTAAAATTGTCATGGGTTCAATTCCTGACCATGGTGCCTCCTGCATGGAGTTTGCATGTTCTCCCTGTGTTTTTGTGGGTTTCCTCTGGGTACTCTAGTTTCCTCCCACACTCCAAAGACATGCTGGTAGGTTAATTGGCTCCTGTCTAAATTGTCCTAGTTTCATCCCTGGACATGTGTGATCTCCTGCATGGTAGGGCTTGTGGAAAGACCTGGCAACCTACCCTGTAAAATAATTGCTAAGAGAATTCATGGAAGAAGTTGCTTGCAATTGCCAAGGGTTGGATACGACTGAATAGATAGATAGATAGATAGATAGATAGATAAAAGATGTGTATGTATGAATGTGAGTTTAGGACCTTAGATTGTACACCCCTTGAGGGTTAGAGACTGATGTGAATGTATAATATATATGTAAATCGCTGCATAAATTGACAAATAAATATATGGTTTTAGTTAATGCCACCTGACATTTTCTAAAACAAAGACATGCAGATGCAACAATTTGGTCACATTCTGTAAAGGGCAAAGTTCTCGTCGCTGACCCTTTTGGTTTGTGACTTACAGTCTGGATGGTGGGCATAAAGGTGTGACTAAAGATGGCCATAGATAGATAGAACTTCAGATGAAAAGTGGCTGAAGATTTTTTTTACCCTAATGCATTCTATGCATTTTCTTCTAAGGTAAAAAAACTTTCTGCTGCATGCAGCTCCCCCCCCCCCCCCAGCCCCCTCTCATACGTACCTGAGCCCAATCTCAATCCAACGATGTGCACAAGAGCAGAGGATCTCTCAGCTCTTTCCCTTCTCGTTGACCCTTCTGGTGTCATTAGCTCCCACTGCTGTCAATCACAGCTAGTGAGGAGGGAGCAGGAGGCGGGGGCAAGAGGCTTGCTATGGGGGCACTGAGCAGGAGGGAAGAACCCAGAGCACCTGAGGGGGGCCAGAGTAGAGGAGAATTCAGGCTGCTCTGTGAAAAACCATTGTACAAAGCAGGTAGGTATAACATGTTTGGATTTTTAAAAAAATAATATGTGATCCTTAAAATTAAGAAAAGTCTAGGATAATTCGTACAAAAATCCTTCTAACATTCTCAGAACATGACGTCAAAAGATTTTGTTTGCTTTCAACATTTGATTTTTGGAATGAATAGACTTTACCAAGGAAAAACCATATACAAATTTGTTCATTTGAGAAGTTTCTATCTTGCTTCTTTGAATTTTCTTGTCACTGCAGTTGAAAATGAATGTTGATTTAACTCGCTAATGATCAGAAAAACAAACAAGCTCAGAACATTTTTTTTCTACAAATTGTCATTCAAAATTCTACCTATCTATGGTCAGCTTTAGTCCTTAGTTAAAGCTACACAGTCTGGCTTACAATAAATAGAAGCCACTTAATTCCATCTATAACCCTAGCATTAACCCTGAATTAAAGTGTTACTAAACCCACAACAGTACAATAAGTCTGTAGATGCAGTAAAGCATGCTTGTTATACTCACTGTGGAACCTAAGGGGTTAATCCTCTGCATTGTGTAAAAATGCTGTTTGATCCTGTCTTCTCTGATCCTACCCTTCTTCCAGTGTCCCCCTCTTGTCTCTTGATAAGACATATCATGTGGAGACACTCTGCTCATGCTCAGTTTGGTGTGTATTGCTAGATAGTTTTTTTTTTTTCTCTTGGGAGAATGCATATGATCAGCACAGGGCCAATCAGCACTGTCCAGACAGAGGTCAGGGGTTCTGCATCCTCCTAGGTCAAAATGAAAACTCCTCCTACAAGCTTTAACCAGTGCTCTGCTGGACACTGATATAAGTCACAAGACTGCTCTAACTGCTGATAAGAAAAGGTATTTAGAAGTTTATATTTAGTAAAATAATTGCATTTCCATGTTGTGTGTACTGTGGGAGACCAGATATAGTGAAAGCAGGCTCCAGGGAGACCAGATATAGTGAATGCAGGGCCCGAGGAGACTAGATATAGTGAATGCAGGGTCCGGGGAGACTAGATATAGTGAATACAGGGCCCGGGGTGAATCAGATATAGTGAATGCAGGGCCCGGGGAGATCAGATATAGTGAATGCAGGGTCCGGGGAGACCAGATATAGTGAATGCAGGGCCCGGGGAGACTAGATATAGTGAATGCAGGGCCCGAGGAGATCAGATATAGTGAATGCAGGGTCCGGGGGGCAGATATAGTGAATGCAGAGTCCGGGGAGACCAGATATAGTGAATGCAGGGTCCGGGGAGACCGGATATAGTGAATGCAGGGTCCGGGGAGACCGGATATAGTGAATGCAGGTTCTGGGGAGACCAGATATAGTGAATGCAGGGCCCGGGGAGACCAGATATAGTGAATGCAGGGTCCGGGGAGACCAGATATAGTGAATGCAGGGTCCGGGGAGACCGGATATAGTGAATGCAGGGTCCGGGTAGACCGGATATAGTGAATGCAGGGTCTGGGGAAACCAGATATAGTGAATGCAGGGTCCGGGGAGACCAGATATAGTGAATGCAGGGTCTGGGGAGACCAGATATAGTGAATGCAGGGTCCGGGGAGAGCGGATATAGTGAACGCATGGTCCGGGGAGACCAGATATAGTGAATGCGGGGTCCGGTGAGACCAGATATAGTGAATGCAGGGTCGGGGGATACCAGATATAGTATATATTTCTCACATCGATATCAAACTCAAACTTTTGTTTCTGCCTGGTGAGGTAATCAAGTAAACTTCTGGAATCATTTCTCCATGCCCTATAGTGGTTTAAAAAGTTTGCTATGTATTCATTCCTTCCACTGAGGTCATATGATCATGTCATTGTTAAAGGTGCTTTAGTGCACTGAGATCTAGGATTAACAGTGGGGAACACCTGAAATGCCAGAATTGCGGTCACATTTCCACCTCTATGACCCAGAGAACCTTGACATTTAATATGTCTTATATCAAAGATTCTGGCTACAGAGAAATCATTTAAAGTCTAAGACACAATTAGCAGAGGTAGGAATTGATACAGATAAAAAAAAAAAGTTTGAATTGACTTCCACTGTAACATTCAGTACTGGCAAGCCTTGTTCAGTATTGCAATCAGATATCATTCAGTCTTGTACTGTATTCAGTTCATTACGAGAGGTTATCTTTATTAGATGTTCATTCAACTGTGTATTTTCTTTGCACATGGCACCAGCTTGGCATGTTATTATTGTCCCTAGTTAGGGTTGATTGCTAGCAGGGGCGGACTGACCATTCGAGCACTTGGGCACTGCCCGTGGGCCCGGGGTCAGTAGGGGGCCCCATAAAATGCCCCTGGTACCTTTTTATAGGCTTTTTTGGGTGTGTTTTGAGTGTGGGCATGGACACAGGGGCCCGATTATCCCCAATTGCCCAGGGGCCCCATGAGTTGTCAGTCCGCCCCCTGATTGCTAGTCATTGCACATTACGTAACTTGCACAGTTGACTTTGCAGCTGCCACTAAATACTGTATGTGCTTATTCCAGAAATGTTTGACCACAACTCTAGCTGTTTGAGGTTCACTGAAGAGGTGAACTAAATGGCCAGATTTGGCCTGTCTGCAAATGTTGAACCTCTGGTCATTGCTGCCTCTGTAAACAGTTATAGTCCGGGGCGGGCGCCATGTTTTATTTTAATGTTGTTTTTAACCACTTGAGCTCCAGAGGATTTACCCCCCTTAATGACCAGGCCTTTTTTTGCTGTTTGGCGCTGCACTAATTCAAATGATAATTGCGCGGTCATGCAACGCTGTACCCAAACAAAATTTACGTCCTTTTTTTCACACAAATAGAGCTTTCTTTTGGTGGTATTTTATCACCTGTGCGCTTTTTATTTTTTGCGCTATAAACAAAAAAAACCACAAAACTTTTGAAAAAAAACAATATTTTCTACTTTCAGCTATAAAAAATATATCGTAAACTCAAAGTTAGTCATAAATTTAAGCCAAAATGTATTCTGCTCCATGTTTTTGGTAAAAAAAATCCCAATAAGTGTATATTGATTGCTTTGTGTGAAAGTTATAGCGTCTACAAACTATGGTATAGATACTGTAATTTATGCCTTTTTTTGCTATACAGCGCTGCACTAATTCAAATGATAATTGCGCGGTCACGCAATGCTGTACCCAAGCGAAATTTACGTCCTTTTTTTCACACAAATAGAGCTTTCTTTTGGTAGTATTTGATCACCTGTGCGCTTTTTATTTTTTGCGCTATAATAAAAAAAACACACGAAAACTTTGAAAAAAAAACAATATTTTCTACTTTCAGCTATAAAAAATATATCGTAAACTCAAAGTTAGTCATAAATTTAAGCCAAAATATATTCTGCTACATGTTTTTGGTAAAAAAATTCCCGTGCATTAGTGGGCAAACTGGCGCTATCTAGGAGGGTCGCTAACACTATCGGAAGTCACCAGTGACACTAATACAGTGATCAGTAAAAATCTGTTCACTGTAATCAATGACACTGGTGACAGGGCAGTGAAGGGGTTAACTGGGGGGGGGGGGGGGGGGGGCGATCAAGGGGTTAAATGGGATTTCTGGTGCACTATCGGGCAAACTGGCGCTATCTGGGAGGGGCGCTAACACTATCGGAAGTCGCCAGCGACACTGATACAGTGATCAGTAAAAATCGGTTCACTGATCAGTGACACTGGTGACAGGGCAGTGAAGGAGTTAATTGGGGGGTGGGATTAAGGGGTTAAAAATGGGATTACTGGTGTACTAGCGGGCAATCTGGCGCTATCTGGGAGGGGCGCTAACACTATCGGAAGTCGCCAGTGACACTGATACAGTGATCAGTAAAAAATGAGTTCACTGATCAGTGACACTGGTGACAGGGCAGTGAAGGGGTTAACGGGGGGGGGGGGCGCGATCAAGGGGTTAAACGGGATTACTGATGTACTGGCGGGCAATCTGGCGCTATCTTGGAGGGGCGCTAACACTATCGGAAGTCGCCAGCGACACTGATACAGTGATCAGTAAAAATTGGTTCACTGATCAGTGACACTGGTGACAGGGCAGTGAAGGGGTTAACTGGGGGGGGGGGGCAATCAGGGGGTTAAATGTGACCTAGAGTGTTCTAACTGTAAATGTGTGCTGTTTTACTCACGTTTACTGTGTCTTCTTCTCTGTCTGGAATGGAATGTGTCCAGGCAGAGAAGAATGACATCATATCCTGCCCTGTGTAAATGTCAACACAAGACAGGATAGGACAGGGACCGATCATCTGATTTCAGCCAGAAATCACTGGCTGAAATCTAATGATTGATCCCTCCTGGATCGAATCGTGTCACCCACGGGTCGGCGGGAGCGCGCGTGGAGCCCCCTACCCGCGAATGTGTCGGGAGCGTGGAGCACGTTTTAAAACGTGCTTTTGCGCTCCACTGCCGCCCTGCACACGTATATATACAGTGGCAGGGCGGCAAGCGGTTAAGGTGAGTGGGTGCACTGGGCACCCTGGCTGCCATTGTGCTATATGCTGGGTGTTCTTTGCACTCCTGTACCTTTAAGAGGGGTTGGCTCCTTGATGTGCATTTGCCCTTGGTCTATCCTTTAAATGCATGTGCCTCTACTATGGGGACTCTCAAATTTGTAGAGTTAGGACCACAGAATATCAGGGTGCCGTGATGTGGCTCTGTGGCTTAAGTATGTATTTGCAAATGTGTGCTAACTAAACCCGTTTTTAACGCATACTGTTAGACAGGTTAATTTGGTTGTTGGCAAGCTGGCTGGCGAGTTGATTTTCGAACCCTTTTTTTATTTTTCCTTTATTACTGACATGCCTCTGTAAACAGTTCATTTAATGCTGGTATTGATACTGCCACTACAGGAAAGACATTCCGGCTTATCCGCTGACTTGTTTCAAATAATATACAAGCTAGCATGCATTTCGGATTATGTCATTGACCAAATCTGGCCATTACCATAGTTGGTCTAAGACATTAAGTAGCATCACTGATGAGCTTGTTTACAGTTGTACATTGAGCAGACAGCCTGGGAGCTGTCATTTGGAGCAAGGGTCTTTTGGGAGCAGGATTGTCATGCACAGATCATTGTGTTTTTTTTACAGCTTTATATTAGATTTAAAAGACATGTACAAAAGTGCAAAAAGTGGTGATTTTGGCTGTTTTCATAGTCTGGTTACACACTGTTTAGCTGCCAACATTGTATTCATTACAAATAATTTTTCTTTGTTATGAATAGTGTTGGGCTCGATATCAGAGCCGAATGTAAGTTCGACTTGAACATTGGCCGTTCATGTGTTCGGCATACACATGAACAGTAAGGGTGTTCAGTTGGCTGTTCACCCGTCGAGCGAGCCCCCACAATGCACTGCGCTCTCAAAGTGCATTGTGAGAGCCATTATTGGCCAAAGCAATGCACCTACAATGCTTTGCCAATCACAGCACAATGCACTGTGAGAGCCATGATTGGCCAAAGTCACAATGACTTTGACCAATCATGGCTCACGGCTAAATCCATGCCCCACACTATATAAGGCTGCTTACACTGTAGCCTTATGCAGTGTATTGCTGGGCACTGCTGAAGACAGAGGGGAGAATACTGTCCCTGGAAGAAAAAAAAAAACCAATAAAAAAAATATATATGTATAAAAAAATAAAAATTAAACAGAAATTACATTAAAAAAAGAAACAGCGCGGGTCCCCCCCCCCCCCCCCATCCATACCAGACCTTTTAGAACTGGTAGAAAGGTTAGGAGGGACCCCACAGTTAATTTGTTTTTAAAAAAGGGCGTGCGGTTCTCCCTAAAAGCCATACCAGGCCATTTAGGCCGGGTAGGACTTTTAAGGAAACCCCACCTTCCTAAAATGGGGCAAAAAAGTGTGTGGGGTTCCCTCTAAAAGCCATACCCAGGCCCTTTAGGCCTGGTAGGACTTTTAAGGGAATTCCACCCCCCACAAATGGGAAGGGAAAAGCATGGGGTCCCCCTTAAATTCCTTACAGACACTTGATCCAAGCACAGGCCTGGCAGGACAGAAAAGAGGGGGATGATCAAGCGTCCCCTCCACCCCCCCACCCCCCCCCTCCTTACAGCTTACCAGGCCATGTGTCCTCAGCATGGGGATGGTCTCTCCATGCTGATGGGGACAAGGGCCTCCTTCCCACAACCCTGGCCCGGTGGTTGTGGGAGTTACAGTGACTTTGGCCAATCATGGCTCACTGCTAAAGTCCATGCCCCACACTGTTTACACTGCAACCTTATGTAGTGTGTTGCTGGACACTGCCAAAGACAGAGGGAAGAATAATTTCCCTGAAAAAAAAAAAAAAAAAAAAAAAAATAAAAAAAAATAAAAGTAAAACAAAAAATACATTAAAAAAAGACAGGTCTAGTAGGTCTAGTATGAAGGTTAGGAGGGACCCCGCAGTAAAAAGGAGCCCATTGGTCTTCTGAGTAAGACAGCAATGGCTTTCTCCAGGACACTGTACTTTTGTTGATGATTGTAGCTCATTTGTAGCTCATAGTGATTGACAATGGATCCACATCGCTGGACAATGTGATTGATGATGAATGTTTACACAGTCAGGAGATTTACTAAAGCTAGGGCACTCAGAACCTGGTGCAGATTTGCATGCTAGCCAATCAGCTTACTAATTTCAGCTTGATTAATTAAGCTTTGACAAGGCTTTGAACCTGGAAGCTGATTGGTTTATATGCAGAGCTGCAACAGATTTTGCACTCTCTAGCTTTAGAAAATAATCCCCTAAACTGGGACTTTTTTTTGCCGAGTTAAAGTGATAGCAAGCCGTAGAACAAAACTTGGGCCCTTGTAGGATAATGTCATAACATGCAAGTATGTAGCACATACTAGCACATTATGACAGACTTACCTGAACCTGAAAAACGATACCTCCAGTGGCACACTGTCACCGCTGACAGGGCTTCCATCTTCACCTGTTCTTCCTTCCAAGCTCTGGCCTGTATACAGTAAATAGCCAAGCCGCTATGATGTCAATCCTGGGCTAGAGTTGGTCGCGGCACAGCTCTCTCAATGGATGGCATGCCGTTCATTGAGAGCGCAGTGCATATACGATGGTGACCTCACCGGCTGCTACTAAAGTAATACAGTATCTCCTAAATGGTGCATGTTTAGCAGATATTTACTGTATTTACAGGTAAGCCTTATTATAGGCCTTATTATAGGCTTACCTGTAGGTAGAAATAAACAATGGGACT